AGAGCGTTTCCTTTGGAATGGGGTCCCTGCGCTGAGAAGCTCCTAGTCATTGGGCACACTGATGAGAAGGCCGAGAGAGAGAGAAAGCCTTCTCCTGGAGCTGACACCCTGAATTTGGACTTTTAGCCTACTTTACTGTAAGGAAATAAACTTCTGTTTGTTAAAACCATCCACTTGTGGTATTTCTGTTGTAGCAGCACTAGATGACTAAGACAACATCAATAGCCCCTGTTCTCTTCTTCAGTTTGCACCCGTCTCCCCTTCTCTAAATATACTCTAATGGATCCTTCACGCATTTTGTTCTCTCTGCTTGGGATTCTTCTCTTTTCACAACCTTTCTCTTCCCCACCTCTGCCAACTTTTAATCCTTCAGTCTAATTTTACATGTTGAATCCTCAGAAAGACAGTTCCTTAACTACACAAACTGATTTAGGACTCCCTTGATCTTCTCTTGCATAGCCTTCTACTGTTTTCTTTCAAAACACTTACTTCAATTTATAATTATAAATGCATTTATATGATCATTTATTTCTTCCCAATATTGCTATTTTGTTCTCCACTATTATGTCCAGCAACTAGAATGGTTCCTGACAGTCAATATTTGTTGAGTGACAATGAATGAGCTATGTTAGCTGAAGGTATTTTTATAAAACAATATAGATTTCTTTTTCTTTTTGACTCTGTTCTAGCTAAAGTACCCTTTGGATTACGATCTGCCTTCCCACAGACCTTGACAACTGGGAGAGAATGTACTAATTATGAGGATTGATTCTGGTGAGAGACATTTATTAATACAAATTTTAAAACTGATATCCAGGTGGCAACTCAAGTTCATGTGTATTTTAATTTATGTTTGTCAGTCTCTGAGGTTCTGAGAACAGTGAACCTGGGGGCCCTCAGATCAGAGGTCAAGTTTTGGGTCATGATTAATTCACAAATAATTATCGCCCAGGAGGCGTCTTTGGAGGCAACCTTGCAGACCTTTACCTTCAGTGACTCTCTGACATCATTACTGATTTAAGCCTATCTCTCTTTCTGGAATGTCTGTGCTGAGTAACTTGGGAGGCATTGCCAAGTATTCACCAGTTATTAAAGATATCAGTTACCTACTATAGTTGTTATCATCTCTGTGTACCACTGAAGAGATTAGCCACCCCTATTCAGGCTAGGACTTCTAAACTCTTCTCTCAGGTCCTTTTCTGCAATCAAATTTTATGGGATTGAGAAAGCCTAGCCTTTGCTGATGGTATACTAATGGGCCCGGCACCTACTGGACAAAACCACTACAGAACTGAAGGAGGTTTTTAAATAATAAACCTTAGCAATAAGTTTATTGTCTTTTTATATCCAGAGACTGTGTTAACTGCTATACATATATTGTTTCATTCCATTCTCATCTAACTCTACAAAGTGTGGTTATGGGTTATTAACCTCATCTTACAGATAAGGGAAATGTAGCTTAGGAAGTTTTTGCAGCATAGTGTGTAAGTGGCTGAGCTGGGATGTGAACCTGAGTTAGCCTGACTCTGGTGCCTGAGCTCTTAACCTCCTGATGTGATCACTCAGCAACTGGTTGCTGTAGTATCAGCTAGTTAGCTTAGTAGCCAAAATCTCTACCCTCTAAGTCTGATTTATGTCATCATAATAATGCCAATGGACCATATTAAAATACATGTTTGGGTATTATTTATTATTCAATAAAGACTTTTTTTTTAGTATACCAGCTATTATGTAAGTTCTATGGAATGTAGATGAAAAAATACAAAATCTCTTCTCCCCATAGCTTTCAGTCTCATGGGAATCAGGCAAACATCCAGACACTCACAAAAACAATATGATCGATGCTATAACAGAAGACCAGGTACTGTGAAGTCAGAGAGGGGTGTCACAGAAATGTTGGTGTGAGCTGACTTTTAAAGACCAGGGATTTGCTAGGAAGATATGCAGGAAGAGAGACAAAGATGGGTACAATTTTCTAGGCAGAGGAAACAATGTGTGCACAGACGTGGGAGGCCTCTAGTACCTCAGTATTATGGGAATATCAGTCATAGTGGGTAAGGGAATGGCAGCATTTTAAGAAATGAAGTTGAAGAGATAGGCAAGGGCCAGACCACACTGAATCTTTATTCTACTCAGAGCTCTTCTGAACAGCAACAGAAGCCAAGTCAAACTTAGCTATAATCATGAAGTGTGACCTCTTAGACTCAGGCGTCTACCCCCAAGTGACTGCTGTCTCTGTGTCTCTTAGTTCATGCCCTCGAGAGAGAGAATCTCATCAGTCACTGGCTGTCTTAGATATCTAGTGCTACTATAACAGAAATATCACAAGTGGATGGCTTTAATAAACAGAAGTTTATTGTCTCACAGGTTAGGAGGCTAGAAGTCTGAATTCAGGGTGCCAGCTCCAGGGGAAAGCTTTCTCTCTCTGTCAGTTCTGGGAGAAGGTCCTTATCATCAATCTTCCCCTGGTTTAGGAGCTTCTCAGTGGAGGGACCCCAGATCCAAAGGACATGCTCTGCTCCTGGCTCTTCTTTCTTGGTGGTAAATGAGGTCCTTCTCTTCTATGCTTGCTTCTCTCTTTTATATCTCAGAAGAGACTGACTCAACATACAACCTAATCCTGTAGATTGTGTCCTGCCTCATTAACATCATAGAGGTTATGATTTACAACACATAGGATAATTACACCAGATCACAAAATGGTGGACAACTACACAATACTGGGAATCAAGGCCTGGCCAAGTTGACACACATTTTGGGGGGACACAATACAATCCATATCACTGGCCAACCACGTCTGCCCCTCTTCTGATTGAAAGGATGACCAAGATGTGTGTGTATGTGTATGGGGGGAGGTTACACCAGAGCTATTCAAGGTTGGAATTACCTTGCTAGGGCTAGCCTCCCAGGAACTATGGATGAGAAAGTTTCTATAAGAAGGCTGTGGGTGAGAAAAGTAATAAAATTTATCTAGTACAACACCGTGCACCATAGAGAACAGTCTGGATTCTTTAGTAGACATTTATAGAAAGCAAAAGAAAAACCCTATGTTAAAATCACAAAGTTATCATTTTAACATTTAAGACAACTCCCATTTATGACCTCAAACACAACAACCGTAAGTCTGAAATAATCAGAAGTTTTTAAATCACTACTGATTTTGAATTATTTAAAAATTAGTATGGATAGGAATCATCTCACAAATAAAATATTAACCTAGAATCTTATTCTTAGCTGTGGCAGACAAGACTGGATATATCAGCAGAGCCACTAGGCAAAAGGGGATCGGGTCCCTGCGTGACTATGTGAAACAGAGTACACCCCTAGCCCTCGGTGATATAAATGAGACACTTACCTTTATTTTATCAAGAAACTATTTGCACTCGACCTCTAACCTAAAGGTTGGCAGTTCAAACCCACCCAGAAGCACTGCAAAAGAAAAATCTGGTCATTTGCTTCTGTAAAGATTACAGCTAAGAAAACCCTATGAAGCAAAGTTCTACTCTAACACATGGGGTTGCCATGAGTCAGAATCAACTTGATGGCAATGGGTTTAGTTGTAGCAACTAATACTGCTTATTTAGAGAATGCAGGCAGAAATGATGTGCACCAGTTCTAGGCCTGGCCTGTGCATGGCACCATGGCACTCCCCAACTCTGGATGAAAGAATCTACCCTGTCCATAAGTTTGGGTCCCTAAATGACTGTGTGGAAAAGGGCTGCCCTGCTGACCTGTTCACAGCACTGTATTGCATGTGTGCTAGAAATGAGTTTTTATTATGTTCGAGTAATTATACATTTAGGGGTTTATTGTTACAGCTGTTAGCCTACCCTAAAAAGCAACCAACCATTCTGGATAAGTGAGAATGTATCATATACTATCCTTTATTTTATATCTGCCCTAAGGTAATATAGGAATAAAGAAGTGATGCTCATAAAGAGATATGAGAAAAGTTTAATGTGAGTTTTCAAAAATATTTCTATGTAAGAATATTTCTCTAATTAACTAAAGCAAACTTTTCTGCAGTGCACCCAAATTCTGTGTTTAATTAAGAAAGAGCTTGAGAAGGATTTCTATTTGATTCTATGTTGTCTATATTATAAACATCAGTGTAAGCAGCAGCAATTGTTATTGCCCTGATATTTTACTGAATTTCTCTAACTTAAAATTTCATAAAAGAATCTTTTCCCTCTTGGATATTTATAGACTTTTGCTTCTTATTCTGAGTTGAAGACAGCTCTACTTATGTATACTGATTGCTTAATAAATCACATAATCTTACAAATAGAGACTAGAATTCACAAATAGATAAATAGAAAAGACCAAAAAACTAACATTCCATTTTAACAAAATACATATAGTGAATTATGAAATAAAAGTCATAGAATAGCAAAGTTTTAAAAAATTGATACATCAAGAAGGAGACTGTTCTGTTTATCTTCAGTGATGCATTTTATAAGTTGACTTCTTAATTTTCTGTTATCTTCTTAATTTTTCTTCCTCCAAATGTAAACCTTTCAGCATTAATAGTAATATGGATGCTGACAATATTTACAGTTGGGAATAGCTGCAGATGACATAGGCTGTGGAGTATATATGCTATTAAATGTGTGGAGACATGAATCAATATGTAGAAAATACTCTACAGTGGTAAGAAGGCATATGCCACTATTTCTAACTCAAAACACTCAACAGTTGTTAATGCTGTGATCCTTGTATCATGTGGTAGAGAAAAATTTTGAAGTTATGAATACCGACTTTATTTTTTAGGGCCCAGAAATTAATGTTTATGTGAAACAAGTCCATAATAATAATGAATTACACTATGGAGCTGGGACACAGTACACCAAACTTTAATTGGTTTATACTTGGAAAATCTGACACTGGTAGAAACAAAATTTTCTCTTATATAAGTGAATAATTCACATTACTCTTTAAACATTGCCTAAGCATTCTGATTATCTTAAGACTATTTTCACTCTCTTCATAGGATTTTCCTCTTTAAAAAATTTTAGTTCCATTTTTATGTTTTTGATGTTTTTTCTATATTAAAATTACTATACTTTAACAATCTATTATTACTTATTAGCAATATAAATAATTTTATGCTTTTCAATTACACCAATGTCATGTTCCAGTTGCTTCATTTCTTCTTCTAACTTCTGCTTGCGAATCTTCTTCGGTATGGAATCTATGAACACCGAGAGGGACTGAAACTCTTTATGCACCTCTTCCCAATTCTTTTTCAGCCCCTATAAATGGTAAAGAAAACTGAATACTAAAGTATACTGCAAACATAAGTAAAACCATACTGGTAAAGGAAAATGTACGTAGGTAAAGAAAACTGACAAAAATAACTTTTACAAATAATATGTATTTATCAAGTACTTGGCCGAAGTAACAAAAAATACCGTGCAGAGGCCAAACTCTGTCCTTGATTGTGTGCTTAGCTCCCACTGGGAGTATTTATTTGCTCTGTTTTTAATGTTACTGTACTTGTTTTTACCATCCAATACAAATTTGCAGAGTTATGAGTAGTAAGAAACTAAGCTCATAGCAAATGCTTTGGTTAAAACAACAAGTTAGAATTGATGTCCCCAAATAAAAACATTTTTGAACAAAAAATGCTTTCTTATAAGAACTCTACTTTTTTTCTGTAAAATTTTCTTTTTAAATCATTATTCTTCAACAGAGAAATCACATTAAAAGAGTGATTGACTTGCATGGCCATACTTCTTATATCTGGCGCAATGGAGTTACTCAAAATGTCAAAATTCAGTGTTATAAGATAATGATCTTTATGCATCTTTTTAATATATTAGTAAGAACTCTTCCTCCATATAGTTGAGGGATATATACTTCCCATTTATTTATTCTAGAAATGATTGAAATTCCATTAAATATAATATATAATATATATATATAATAAATATAATATATATGCTAATTCAGTAGTCTAGTTAATGCTTTACATTATCAGAAATCAACACATTCAAAATTAGAGATCTCTTTAAAAAAAAAAACAACAAAATTAGGGATCTCTTAGGAGCAATAAGGTCATTTCCATCTCTGCATAGTTACCATTTCTTATCACAGTACACTAGGGGCCCCATTGCCAAAATGGTCTTAAACTACTAATTGAACTTATGCAATGAAATTGTATATATTAGCACCTTTTATAATTCACTATGGGTACGTGCCTCATTTTATTTATACCAACACAGAAAGCAAAAATGCAAGTGCAATTTAAAATATTGCTTTGAAAACATGGTCCTTAGAAATGGTGGTCAAAGCATTTATATTTAGGAGAGGATTAGAAGTGTCTTACATAATAATGCCTTCATATAAGCCCTTGTGGTACAAATTTAATCTTGTAGAAACTTTTCAAGAGCAATAAAATCTTTAATGGTTTATTTCCATACTTCGGTAAAAATGATCACAGGATAGGGCATACTGTAAGGATAGGTTGGTTGGGGGAAAGGGCAACAAATTTTGACTTCTCATTGAGTGAGAGTATATCAAAGATTCGGAAAGGGAAAATGTGGATAGAAAAGACATCCAAGTTAAAAAAAAAAGAAAGAAAGAAAGAAAGAACAGGGAGTCAGGTAGGTAAAATTGTGTAACACATTCTTAAAAGTGTATGAGATGTATTCCAAAAAGAAGTCCTCAAAAGAATTCTATTTTTCCACAGTCTTTCTTTTTTTACGAAATGTGAAATACGCTTCTGCAGTGTTCCACAGGGGTGCCTATTGCATAGAGGAAATCTACGTATTTATACACTTCCAAATATCAAAGGTTTTTCATAGCTAGTTGGGTGTTATTTCCACATCACTGTGGTCACAGCAACTACACTTTTTCTCTGTATTCTCTTCTGAGGGAGAGTTTGCTTTTATCTTCCAGTGTGTGCAATAATGCTTGGATCAAAGTTAACAGCTAGGGAATGGAAACTAAATATAACTAATATTCCATATTATATTGAAATAACCACCTTCAGGCTTTTGAGACTTTTCTTTTTCCTTTTTGGTTATTTCATCTGAAAATCTTTTATCCATTGCAGCAATAGCAATTTTCCCTTATTTTTATTTCATAATTTTTTTCTCTTCTGTTTTAATGCTGAAATGACATTACTCATTTTGGAAAAAATTCAAATAAGGAGAAGTAGTCATAAAATAAGTAGGAGGTGCTTTGAGTTCTATGCTCCTGTTGCACCCCCCCACCCCATTCTCCACCTTCTTTCCCTGCTCTGTGCCTTGGGGTGGGGGCTGGGGGCTGATTCTTGTGGGCTGCACTGCCCTGGCTCCTTTGCCCTCTGACCTCTGACTGAGTTCAGCCAATGGAGGCACTTGTGGTAGGAGACAGATTGGGGCATTTCTTCCCCTGGTTCCTTGGCCCAGCCTGGACTCTAGGTCTGGTTGCATCCCTCCGTGACTACAACACCTGTCAGAGTGTGGTGTGGGGAGGGGGGAGAAAATGAGTGAATATGAGTTAGAACGAATGGGTCAAGACCAGTACCCTCTATCTAATGAATTAGGGAATTGAGTTAATTAGCCCTTCTTCCAGGCTCCAGCTCTCCCAGGGCTCTGGTAACACTATTATAACCCTGCCCTTCAAGCTGGTGGATTCCTGTTGTCCTTAGTCCATGGGTGCCTCAGTGTTCCCTGCTAGTTCCCTTAACTCTGCTTCACTTCTGTAAAGATTTCCTTCATGAAATTCTCTTCAAAATCCCAGTTGAGCATACCTTCTCTTTCCTGCTGGATCCCTGAGGGGTACAGCTTCTCTCTGTTAACCTCTTATGCAGGTGTGTATAACGTAGTGGGGAAAACACTGGCCTGGGAATTGGTAGGTGTGAGTTGTAGTCTCTATTCAGATACTTGATAATTTTGTGACCAAGAGCAAATTTAAAGCAAACTAAGTTCACTGACAATAAGGGCCATATTTGTTTTGCTTACTACAGTATTCTCAGGGCTGGGTACAGAGTGTGGAATATATTATATGTATGATAAATGACTGAATTGGGTGAAGGAACAAATGAGCCTACTGAACATCTTTACATTTTATATCCTTGTCTGTAAATAAGGGGTTTGGAATCATTAGACCAGATGATGCCTTCCAGATATAATGAGTTATTTTATGAAGAATGAACAGAATGTGGCCAGCTTGGGGGCAGACAACCGTGTTGTCATAGAACTGCAACTCATTACCAGGGAGGGAAGCATGGTTCAGGGCTTGTCAGGAGTATAGCTAGTGGCTTTGTTGTTATGGCAACTATACTCCCCAGCCAATAAGGCATCCAATGGAAGATGTGTGCTATGGTTGCATCAAAGGGTATGCAATGAAACCCTGTAGTGACCACATTAGGAAGCTCATGGCTAATTGTCAACTACAGCCAAAGAGGTATATGAGGGAGGAGCCCTTTCCTCCTGAGGGAAGTTCTTCCATTTTTCTCTATTCTTCAGCATCATTTAGATATAAAAATCTGGCTTTCACAAATTCATATACTTTCTGAAAATGGTAGAATCCAAAGGAGGGTGCAGGAGGGATGGAGAGAGCAAGAATGAATATGAATGAAAATGAATGGGTCAAGATCAGTACCTTCCTCTAATTAATTAGGGAATTGAGTTAATTAGCTAAAAACGGAATAAGCCACAATCAGTTGTAAGTCACTGAAGACTTAGACATTACATTCAGAGTGCTGTGTTAACATGTTCCGTCTCTGTTAGGGGTCACCCTCCCTTTATGATGCTCTCCTTCAGCCTCACTGACCAGCTAGTGCTCCCTGAAAATGCCAATGAAATTCCCATCTCTGTGACTGCCAGCCTTCCTGCCTGCCTGTATTCCTCTTTTCCTTCTCGCACATCATTTTTGAGCACCTATGTTTATACTGGGCACTGTGTTAGGTATCAGGAATACAGATGTCAACAAAGAGACACAGTCCTTATCCTTAGGCCACTACTGCTGTATGGGATCCCCTCCTACTTGGCGCTTTAATGCCCAGCTAAAGATCCCCATCCTGCAGTGGAGATTCATGCCTTGGAATCCTCATAAAACTTACACGTGTGCACACACACACATTTACATATACATACATTTACATGTGCATATGTACGTATATAAATGAGCCCAGGTTACACAATGGTTAAGTGCTTGGCTGCTAACATAAAGGTTGGCAGTTCAACTCACCCAGTGGCTCCACAGGAGAAAGAGCTGGCGATCTGCTCTGTAAAGATTACAGCCTAGAAAACCCCACTGGGCAGTTGTACCCTGTCACATGGGGTCTCTATGAGTCAGAATCGTCTCTATGGCACCCAACAACAACAACACATACATATCACTTTTCATCAATTAAATTACAATATTCTCTACAGCAGAAGTTGTATCTGATGCCTTTTTAAATATCCTCAGGGCTTGGCATAACTATGCATTTAATAGACATTTATTGATGATTATGATGACATTGATAAAATGTTAAGCATTTATAACAGCATATGAATCCATTTTTTAACAGAAATTAATACAATAAAATTAGTTTTTTCTGTTTTTAAAAGGACCCTAGAAATGGCTTTGTAGAAAGCTTATTAAATACCAAAACAAAGGGTAAAGTACTATTTTCACCTCTGGAAGAGATAGCTCTTTATATAAACTATAGAATAGTATACGTGCTTGCTTAATAAACACTCTCTAAATATGATGCTGGAGCAGCAACCCTGCTCACATCTTCTAATATTTTAGATGCTTCAGATAAAAGTCTTGCATCAAAAGCTCAAATGTAAGTATCTTTTAAAATCTATTTTATTTATTTGAAAGAAGGAAAATACACATAAAACTTAACACCTAGTTACTCTAAAATTTGAACATTTGCGTTATAGTGAAAAAAGAAAAAGAAAAAGTTGGTCTAGGGACAGATTCAATTATTCTAGAGCTCCATCTAGTGAAAAATAACCAATTTATGGATACATTTTTTCAAAATATAGGGGTAAGAGAATAAAAATAAAAACGGTTTTTGCCCTACACATGCATGAATCTTGTAGGAGAGGTAGGCTTCCTTACAGCACTTCAGGAAATAATAGAATCTCACCAAACTGACATAAAATGTTGTTCAGTGAATCCCGAAGTACAACTCTTTCCTCTCCCTAAAGAGTCAGATTTGCTGCGTGTAGTTTGTCACCATAACCAAAGGAGACTGGTCTGATTTCAAAATCAAAGCACCGGCTTTAATAATAAAGGGGAGTGGTATACAGTTTAGAGATGTTCCAAAGAGTTACAGATGAATATAAATTACAGAACACACACCTGCAGAACCGCCTCCCTTTCTTCATCAGACAGCTTTTTCATAGATGCCTTTCTAAGGTTTTCCTGGACATAATTATCATATTCTTCTTGGGCTTTCTTTATTTCCTCATTTCGCTTACATATATATTCAGGTGTGACACCATAATCCTGTAAGGATTTTTCAGTAAAAAAAAAAAGTCAGTATCTTGAATGCAATCTTATATATGTATATAAACTAATCTACGAATGTGAGGAAAAAAACCCTTACCGATTGTCATGGATTGAATTGTGTCCCCCAAAATGCGTCAGTTTGGCTAGGCTGTGATTCCCAGTATTGTGTGATTGTCCACCATTTTGTCATCTGATGTGATTTTCCTGTGTGTTGTAAATCTTACCTCTATGATGTTAATGAGGCAGGATTACAGGCAGTTATATTAATGAGGCAGGACTCAATCTACAAGATTAGGTGGTGTCTAAAGTTCAATCTCTTTTGAGAAATAAAAGAGAGAAGCCAGTAGAGACACAGGAGGATCTCTTACCACCAAGAAACAAGAGCCAGGAGAATATAGCACTTCCTTTGGACCTGAGGTCCCTGAGCTTAGCAGCTTCTTGACCTGGAAGACTGATGACAAGGAACTTCCTCCAGAGCTGGCAGAGAAAGAAACCCATCCCCTGGAGCTGGCACACTGAATTAGGACTTCTAGCCTCCTAGACTGTGAGAGAATAAACTTCTCTCTGTTAAAGCCATCCACTTCTGGTATTTCTATTACAGCAGCACTGTATAACTAAGATACTGATTTAAAGGCTTTACTCAAAACCCTGCAAATTGACACAAGTAATTTTTCCTCACTGGGAACTAGTTGATTCTGGTCTATTAAAACAATCTGAGGTGTCATTGAGGTCATTTGTTTTCTTCCTTCTTTTCTGAATGTTGTCCAGTACCTGTTCCTGGATGATGAATCTGGCCCTTACTTTAACCGCAGTAAGGAACCCTGGTGGCTCAGTGGTTAAGCTCTCAGCTGCTAACCAGAAAGTCAACAATTTGAACCCACCAGCCACCAGCAGAAGAAAGATGTGGCAGTCTGCCTTGGAAACCCTGTGGGAAAGTTCTACTCTGTCCTAGAGGGTCACCATGAGTTGGAATTAATTAGACCGCAATGGATTTGGGTTTTGTTTTGTTTTATACTTAGTAGTTGGCTTTTGATGATAAGGAAATTGAAGATTTTTACCAATTTCTGCAGTCTGAAATTAATCAAACATGCAATCAAGATGCATTGATAATTACTGGAGATTGGAATGCAAAAGTTGGAAACAAGAATGATCTCGGTAGTTGGAAAATATGGCCTTGGTGATAGAAATGACATCAGAGATCACATAATAGAATTTTGCAAGACCAATGACTTCATTGCAAAATAGCTTTTTTCCACAATGTAAATGATGACTATGCACTTGAATCTCACCAAAGGAAATAAACAGGAATCAAATCTACTACATCTGTGGGAAGAGACAATGGAAAAGCTGAATATCATCAGTCAGAACAAGGCCAAGGGCCGACTGTGGAACAGACCATCAGCTGCTCATTTGCAAGCTCAAGCTGAAGATGAAGAAAATTAAAAACAAGTCCACGAGAGCCAAAGTACAACATTGAGTATATCCCACCTGAATTTGTAGACCATCTTAAAATAAATTTGACACATTGAACACTAACAAGTGAAGACCAGATCAGTGGTGGTATGACATCAGGGACATCATACATGAAGAAAACAAAAGGTCATTAAAAAGACAAAAAAGAAAGGACCAAAATGAATGTCAGAAGAGACTCTGAAACTTGTTTTTTTTTTTTTTTTTACTTTAGATGAAGGTTTACAAATTAGTTTGTCATTAAACAATTAGTACATATATTGTTTTATGACATTGGTTAACAACCCCACGCCATGTCAACACTCTCCCTTCTAGACCTTGGGTTCCCTATTACCAGCTTTCCTGTCCCCTCCTGCCTTCTAGTCCTTGCCCCTGGGCTGGTGTCCCTCTTTAGTCTCATTTTGTTTTATGGATCTGTCTAATCTTTGGCTGAAGGCTGAACCTCAGGAGTGACTTCATTACTGAGCTAAAAGGGTATCTGGGGGCCATACTCTAGGGGTTTGTCCAGTCTCTGTCAGGCCAGGAACTCTGCTCTTTTTACGTGAGTTAGAATTTTGCTCTACATTATTCTCAAGCTCTGTCCGGGACCCTCTATTGTGATCCCTGTCAGATTAGTCAGTGGTAGTAGCTGGGCACCATCTAGTTGTACTGGACTCAAACTGGTGGAGGCCATGGTAGTTGTGGTCCATTAGTCCTTTGGACTAATCTTTCCTTTGTGTCTTTAGTTTTCTTCCTTCTCCCTGCTCCCGAACGGGTGAGACCAGTGGAGTATCTTACATGGCTGCTCACAGACTTTTAAGATCCCAGATGCTACTCAGCAAAGTGGAATGTAGAACATTTTCTACATAAACTATGTTATGCCAATTGAGCTAGATGTTTCCCAAGACCATGGTCCCTGCAGCCTCCAGCAATTCGGTCCCTTAGGGAGTTTGGATGTGTCTATGGAACTTCCATGACCTTGCCTTGTACAAGTTGTGCTGGCTTCCTCAGTATTGTGTACTGTCTTACCCTTCACCAAAGTTACCACTTATGTATTGTCTATTTAGTGTTTTTCCAACCCCACCCCTCCCCTTCCTCATAACCATGAAAGATTGTTTCTTTTTGTGTGTAAACCTTGTCAATAGTTTTTATAGTAGTGGTCTCATACAATATTTGTCTTTTTGTGATTGAACTATTTCACTCAGCATAATGCCATCCAGATTATCCATGTTGCGAGATGCTTCGCAGATTCATCATTGTTCTTTATCTTTGTGTGGTACTCCATTGTGTGTATGTACCATAGTTTGTTTATCCATTCATCTGTTGATAGGCATCTAGGTTGTTTCCATTTTTTTGCTATTGTGAACAATGCTGCAATCAATGAACATGGCTGTTTCTATGTCTATTCGTGTGACAGCTCTTATTTCTCTAGACATATTCCTAGGAGTGGGGTTACTGGATCATATAGTATTTCTATTTCTAGCTTTTTAAGGAAGTGCCATATTGTTTTCCAAAGTGGTTGTATCATTTTGCATTCCCACTAGCAGTGCATAAGAGTGCCAATCTCCCCATAGCCTCTCCAACATTTGTTATTTTCTTTTTTTCTTGATTCGTGCCAGTAACGCTGGGGTGAGATGGTATCTCATTGTGATTTTGATTTGCATTTCTCTAATGGCTAGTGACCATGAGCATTTCCTCATGTGTCTGTTAGCCACTTGAATGTCTTCTTTGGTGAAGCATCTGTTCATTTCCTCTGCCGATTTTTCAACTGGATTATTTGTCTTTTTTTGTAGCGGTATTGGATTTTCCTTAGACCTTTGTCAGATTTGTCATGGTCAAAAATTTTTTGCCAGTCTGCAGGTTCTCTTTTTACTCTTTTGGTAAGCATAAGTATTTAATTTTCAGAAGACCTCAGTAACCTAGCTTATCTTCTGGAGTTTGTGTGTTGTTAGTTATGGTTTGTATCCTGTTACTGCTGTGTATTAGGGACTCTAGCATTGATTCTATTTTTTATTCTATGATCTTTATAGTTTTTGGTTTTATATTTATGTCTTTGATCCATTTTGAGTTAGTTTTTGTGTATGGTGTGAGGTATGGGTCCTGTTTCATTTTTGGCTGATGGACATCCAGTTTTGCTAGCACTATTTGTTAAAAAGACTGTCTTTTCCCCATTTGATGGACTTTGGGCCCTTGTGGAAGATCAGGTGACCGTAGGTGAATGGGTTTACATCTGAGCTCTCAATTTTTTTCCATTGGTCAATGTGTCTGTCGCTGTACCAGTACCAGGATGTTTTGACTACCATAGCTGTTTAGCAGGTTCTGAGGTCAGGTAGTGCAAGTCCTCCTACTTTATTCTTCTTCTTCAATAGTGCTTTACCTATCCAGGGCCTCTTCCCCTTCCATATAAAGTTAATGATTAGTTTTTCCATCTCTTGAATGAATGTTGTTGGTATTTGGATTGGGATTGTATTATATTTGTAGATTGCTTTGGATAGAACTTAAACATTTTCACAATGTTAAGTCCACCTATCCATGAGCATGGTATGTTTTTCCATTTATGTAGATCTCTTTTGGTTTCTTGCAGTAGTGTTTTGTAGTTTTCTTGGTACAGTTCTTTTACATCTCTGGTTAGATTTGTTCCTAAGTATTTTATTTTTTTAGGGGCTATTATAAATGGTATTGTTTTCCTGATTTCCTTTTTGTCATTCTCTTTATTGGTGTATAGGAATCCAACTGATTTTATCTTGCATCCTGCTACTCTGCTGAATCTTTCTATTAGTTCCAGTAGTTTTCTTTTGAAGTCTTTTGGGTTTTCTATGTATAGTATATCATCCACAAAAGGGACAATTTTACTTCTTCCTTAACAATTTGAATTCTGTCTTAGTTATCTAGTGTTGCTGTAACAGAAATACTACAAGTGGATGGCTTTAACAAAGAGAAATTTATTTCTTCACAGAAAGTAGGCTAAAAGTCCAAATTCAGGGCGTCTGTTCCAGGGGAAGGCTTTCTCTTTCGGTTGGCCTTCTCATCAAACTTCCCCTGGACTAGGAGATTCTCCACACAGGGACCCGAGGTCCAAAGGACGCCCTCTGCTCCCAGCACTGCTTTCTTGCTGGTAGGAGATCCCCTTGTCTCTCTGCTGGCTTCTCTCTTTTATATCTCAGTAGATTACCTCAAGACACATTCCAGTCTTGCAGACTGAATCCTCCCTCACCAACACAACTGCCACCCATTCTTCCTCATTAACATCATAGAGGGAGGATTTACAATATACAGGAAAATCACACAATACCAGGAATCATGGCCCAGCCAAACTGATACACACATTATTGGGGGGACATAATTCAATCTATGACAGATGCCCTTTATTTCTTTCTCTTGCCTTATTGCTCTAGCTAGGACTTCCAGCACATTGTTAATATAGGAGTGGAGATAACGGGCAACCTTGTCTTGTTCCTATTCTCAAGGGGAATGTTTTCAGCTTCTCTCCATTAAGAATGATGTTGGCTGTTGGTTTTGTATAGATGCCCTTTATTATGTTGAGGAAT